AGTGCATGATGTTTCCAAAAAGCCTTCGGGAGCTTTTTGATGTTTTCAAACCTTCGGGTCATTTGTAAGTCCTGCAGTGCATGATGTTTCCAAAAAGCTTTCGGGGGCTTTTTGATGTTTTCAAACTTTCGGGTCATCTGTAAGTCCTGCAGTGCATGATGTTTCCAAAAAGCCTTCGGGAGCTTTTTGATGTTTTCAAACCTTCGGGTCATCTGTAAGTCCTGCAGTGCATGATGTTTTCAAAAAGCCTTCGGGAGCTTTTTGATGTTTTTAAAGCCTTAGGGTCATCCGTAAGTCCTACAGTACATGGTGTTTTTAGGACCTCTGGAATGATGTTTTCAACATTTCAGTCTTACTCAAAAGAAGAAAAATGAAAAAAAATTATTGTTTTTCCGTCTTTGCTCTATTCTTGTTAACACAATAATAAGCAAAGAGGGGAAGCTGTAAACACTAATTTTTTTTTCATTTTATTTTTATTATTATTATTAAAATTATTATTATTATATTATATTATTATTAAATTATTATTACAAATAAGCCAAAATCGGGGCCCAATTACAAACTTGGTGGCCCAGACCGAGAAACCTTAACCCTTTTAGGGTTTTCTGAAAATTCCAGCCGCCCCAGCCAACGGTTCAGCTTCCAGTCGCCTCTGATGATTCCAATAGTCTCCAGCAGCATCCGACGCCTCTACTAGGTGTTCCACCCCGCTGTAGCCACGACACCGCCGCCTCAAAGAAGCCTCCAAAAACGCCTCGTCATCACCCCACGTCGAGCTCTATGGTGAGTCACCACCATAGCTATGGTGACTCACCGAGAAACACTTCTGTGACCGATCTGAGGAGTGTTTCGTCGAGGCTATAAAAGCCTCGACTCACCTGCAAAATAAAGAACGAAGAGGAAGAACCGGAGATAACAAAAAAACAGAGGGGCAACCAACACACAGCCACGGAGAGCAAGAAAAAAAACAGTGAGCAAACCAGCAACCACAAACACCAAAATAGCAAGGAAAAGACGGAGAGATAATCATCGGAGCCTTCACACGCCACCGGAAACCTTCGAAAACCGAAGGTATCTTCTTAGATCTGCTCCAATCGGGGGCTATTTAAGAAAAAAGGTTACCGAAATCGTCTTTAAGACGGCAAGATCTATGTTTTGGGAAATTTTGGAAATTCCAGCCACCATTTACGGTGGGCGGCGTCGGAGGTGTACGGTGGCAGACGACTGCCGGATTCCCTCCGGCGAGGGAAGCTAGAGAGAAGCCAGAGACAAATTCTGGCTCTCTTATTTTTTAGAGAGAAGAGGGAATGAAGAAATGAGAGAGCTGGCCCGAAGGGCCAGCCGTTTCGGGTATTTAAATAGCCTCTCCCAAACGACGCTGTTTTGGGGAGGGTATTTCTGTAATTTCATAAAGGGTAAACCCCGTCCGCAGTGCTCCAAGTTTGTATACCTTGCAATTTAGTCACTGAAAGTAATTTTTGATTATTTTAATTTAGTCTTCTAATTTTATTTTATTTTAATTTAGTCCTTATCAGCATATATATATATATATATATATATATATTTAGGTAAATATCAAATTTAGTCCCTCCTAGTTTAGTAATTATTATTTTAATCCCGTATTATGAATTATGGTTAAATTACACTTTTAATGCCCACCTTTTATATATTTCGAATTAGGATTCTAGTTTTATAATTTTACATTTTAATCATTAAATTTTCATTTTTGACTATTTATTTTTAATATTTTACATTTTAATACTATATTTTTACTTCCTTTTATTTTAATCATTATTTGCAATATTATTTTATTATTATTGCTTTAATTATTATTTCATTATTATTATTTCTATCATTTATATAAATAAATATATATATAATAATATATGTTTATTTATTCTATTTGTTTTCTATTAAAATCCTATATTTCATAAATTACTTTTAATAATCATATTTTAATATATATTTATTTTTCAATATTAAGAAAATGAATGTCTTAAAACACCTAGAAGTCTGTTTTATGATATTTTTACTAAATATCCTATTTTTATAAATCCTATATTAACTTTTAATAAATGTTTTATTTATTTTTATATCAAAGAAAAGAGCTGTCTTAAAGCACCTAGAAGCCCTTTTCTGATATTTCTAAATAAATAAATATCTTATTTATATTAATATATTTTCATAAAATCATAAATTTGAAATAAAAAAGATTATAAATTAAATATATCTTTAAATTTTTAATTTCTAATAATAGAGACAATTTATAATTAAAAAGTATCAATTTTGGACGTTGTGGGGGGTGCTAATCCTTCCCTAAACGTAACCGACCACGAATCCTTTTTTATTATTAAAAAGAACGAATTTTTGGTTAAAACGCAGATAAGTTTATTTTTTAATCGATGTTTTGTTAAAAACTCTTTTAAAGGATGATTTTTAGGTATTCGACCTACCTGATCCAAAAGGCCGATGGCGACTCCCAAATTATTTTAAAAACCCATTTATTCACATTATTGTTCCCGCCAAGTAAAAAATTCGTGCCCGGACGAAAACCGGTTATGACACCCACCATACAAAAGGCAAAAAATTACAAAACAGTCTCTCTGAAGGTGACTTACCAATATCATATCTTATTTGGGTACAATAAAAATAAGCTAGATCACCTGCACGCCAGATATTGCTTTCACAAAGCTCATGGATTGATGGAAAGAATTAGCTTAAGTAAAAGCTTAGTTTGCAGAAAGAAAACGCAGCCACTAGGGATGCCGATATTTATTCCAAGGTTCATATAGGTGTAATTCAAGTTTATATTGAATGGAGGTCACTTGTCCTTTTGTTTATTTTTTCATTTCTTTTCCCCTTAAGACAATTGCATAAATAATTAACACCAGGATTATTACTTAGCACAAAATGCATCCCAGACTTTTTCATATTCATTACAAAATTTAACTTTTTCATTACAACCTTCATCACATTAATCATATTAATGCTTCCATTAACTAATAATATTTTTACAATTTATTAACAATTAATTTGTCTAATAAGATGAGCCATTACATCTTTTAAACAATAAATCAAATAATATGATTAAACTAAAAAAATTCTTACAATTCACCTAATTCTATGTATTACAAATTCAACTCAAATAAGCAACGAGTCTCTCTCTTAATTGAGTTATTTATTTATAAGTTTTTAAAATTAAATATTGTGTTTATAGTTTTATTAATATTTTTTTAAAATTAAGACAAAAAGACATCGGAGAACTTTGTACTTAGCACCTGAGTTATTTTTCACTTAATGTGGCTCTCCAACTCAATAAAACAAATTCAATGTGTACCTTTGACTAGCGTTTTCCATTGTTGACCGTTACGGTGACGATGTGAAGATACATGGTACATGGATGTTTACAATGGTGACCACATTGGGTTTGTTTTCTGAGTTGGAGGGTCATATTGGATGAAAAATAATTCAATGACCATATTGATTATTTTCAAAAGTACAAGGGACTCTTATGCCTTTTTGCCTAAAATTAAATAATGTGTTTGTAATTTGGGTAAACTACATAAATGCTCACTTTCGTTTGAGTTTTATAAACATTTCCTCACTAAATTCAAAAAACATAAGATTTGGTCATTTTCGTTTCGTTTTAATTAAGATGTGGTCACTGAAGATTAACGGTCGTTAAACCTTTAACAGTTTGCTGACATGGTACGATAAATATATGAAATTAAAATCACATCATTTCCACATAGATAATACATGGATTAAGTTTAGTTCACTTTCCTTTCATATTTGTATACTTTTGGTCACTTACGTTATCGTTTTATTAAGTTTTGGTCACTTGGACGTTGAATGTCGTTAGTTTGATGACATGACCCGTTAGTAAAATGATTTAATTTTTATTTTAACCCCTACACTTTAGATAAAATGCTGATTATGGATCTTTTTGTAAATTCAAATTAGTTTAGGGTTAACATTTCAATTTATCCATTTTTAATAAGTTTTCTTCCCAACCCCATTATTGTTTCATCTTCTCTCTACTACTTCGTCATATATCTCTACTTTATTGCTCCATTTGCCTTCTTTCAATGACTCATGCTACATTTCAAGAATAATGAAAGATTTCTAAGTTTCAATCAAACAATAACACCACAAATTCAAAGAAAAATGAAAGGGTAAGCATTTAGAGATAAAATAAAGTTGAGTAATCTCAGTTATTCAAACAAAAATTCAATTTCCAGAGATTGTATAATGTTGAATCCAACAAGGAATAAGAAGACAAATCAATGTATCCAAATTAACTCGATAATTGGATATCACTCTTCATGGAGATTTTTCCATAAGAAAGCGCTTATGGTGAAACATAATCAATATGTCCAAACAACCCAACGACTAGATTTGTGAATTCATCAACTGAACTCAATCCAAAATTCATGATATTCAACGTCGAATCTTTGTTTTTGCTCAAGAACAAATATTTTTCCGATTCTAGATCCCTATGAATCACCGTTAACCCTACGACATGCGTGATCTGCCACACCACCACCACCGCGACAACATTCTAGTACCTCGTTTTAAAGTGATAAAAACTTAATAAAACGATAATGTAAGTGATCAAAAGTGTATAAATGTGAAAGGGAAGTGATCAAAACTTAATCCACATATTATCTATGTAGAAATTATGTAATTTTAATTTTATATATTTAACGTGTCACGTAAACCATTAAAGGTTTAACAACCGATATCTTAATTAAAACGAAACGAAAAGTGATCAAATCTTAATTAAAATAAAATGAAAGTGATGAAATTATTTTTTTTAATTTTAATAAGGAAAATTTATAAAATTTAAACTAAAGTGATAATTTCTGTAAATTACCCGTATAATTTCATTAGTAGTTAAGTAATATAATATTTATTTTAACCCATAAAAGAATACTAAGACGCTTCTTCCGCGCACTATTTCAATCCCCACAACGCCCTTTTGCCCCTTCACTTTTCTCGTTTTAGATCCTGAAGAAAAAAAAAGGCAGGCCATACGAAACAACAGCCACAATGTCACCGGAAAGACAAGGTGGTGGCGGTGCTCCCCATGGAGTAATACTAGCCGTAGTGGTGGCCATCGTAGTATTAGCTCCTTTCTTGTTCGGCGATCAAGGCGAGGCCATAACCGAAGCCATTTCCGACCTCTTAACTCCACTTGGTCTTCTCCTCCTGCCCATTATCCTCCTCCTCACAATCCAGTTCCTTTCATCCGACAGCGGCTCCTTCGTCTCTGCCATCTTCTCCACCGGCGAACCCGATTCCATCCACCGCGCCAGCGGATCTCCGTTTGGAGTTGCCTTGTTCCTCCTCCTCATCTTGTTCTTGCTCTACAATCGTGTTTCCATCTTCGGCGGCGATGACGATTTAGACGATTGACTTCCCCGATCTATCGAAGACTTCTTTTTTGTTTTTTTGTACGCAGTGCGAAGATTTTGAATTTTTGTTTTCTTGTAGTATGATTGTTGTAATTTTACGTGAATACCCAACTAATCAAAGTAATTTATTTGAGCAATTGAGGGCATTTTTTGTCATTTGAGTTGTCTTTTTAATTGTTTAATTATACGTCGTACTGCTTTGTTTTGTATACTGTTGTCTGCTTTTATGTCGAACAGTTAATCAACGGTGTGGTGGTTGTCAAGTCCGTGGCACGGTGGCTGGGACGGTGATGCAGCCGTTGACAAGAACGGGTTTTCTTTTTGTAGTTTTGTTTTGTTAAGGCTCCTTTTTGGAATGGCATTCTCCGTTTTCATATGTTTTTTACTGGCTTTGGGTCTTGATTTCCATACAACAGGAACGTAGACACGTGTTTTTCCTTTTTGTAATGGCCAAAAGAATCTAAATTTGGGTAGACTAAAGTTTGATCATTTAATAATTTGCACTGGGTTAATAAAATTGGCATTTTTCCCAATAAATAATTGGTGATCGGTATATTTATCGATTTAATATCGGTTAAATTATATTTCCTGATCTAACACCATTTGCAGTAAGGTGCGCCCCCTGCGACGCACCTTATGCTGACATGGATACGCGTGGGTATAATGCGGCCCCTAAGACGCGCCTTACGCCACGTAGGGTTTAGCGTGGGTCAGGGGCCGCGCCTGACCTTTATAATTATATATAGCGTGGGGCAGGTACCGCGCCTTGTATAATTGTTACAACTTTTCTCGGCTATAAATACCCTTCTCCCCCGGGTTAAGTTCCTCACATCTCCTCACATCTCTCCTCTCAACTTATAAATTAATACAACAATTCCGTCAACGAGTCAATAATTCTGACAATTTTCTCATATTTTATTCAGAAGTTCGTGCAATTTTTCGTTATAAGGTAATTTTGTGATAATTTTTTTTATTATATTTATTGTTTATTATGATTATTTGAAAAAATATTATACTAATTGTTGTCAATTAATTAATGTGTTTGTAAAATTAGAAAGCGAGAATATACGTCGAAATAGTTTTGCAGTACAGGTAATAATATAAAATTATATTATTTAAATTATTTACGTTTATGTGTAAAAATTTTATTCGGTTATATTTTCGTTCATATATTATTTATTTAATCAGCATTGTTTTAGTTGTTTTTTTTTTTGCAGATATAATATTGTCGCACTTTTAAACTCAAAGAATGGCGCGACTTTCAGCTATTGTTTATTATGATAGTGAAATTCGAGAAGATGAAACCGGCGTTGTTTTCGTATCAAATGAGCGTGTTAAAATATCATTTAAGAGAAATATAACTCTTGAGGAGATGATAACAAAGATTTCGAGGAAGATTCATGTTGGAATTAGTAGAAGAATGTCGTCGTTGTAGTACAGATTTCCAACATCATTGTTGTCATTAACTTATACAGCGTTCGAACTTTTGAACAATGATGATGTTGAAATGATGGTTGAAGCCCAAAGTAATTATTCAGACGCCGATATTGAGATGTATGCACATTTTATTCAAGTGTGTGCCATTCGAGGTCAATCATTAAGCTCCCACTATGGGCTGGCTGAACAAGTTGATCAAGTTAACAGCCCGACGACAGTAATGTGTAATGGTTTTAATGCCATAATGGGGAGACATTCATCCGCAACTCCTTACGATATGTACCGAGGTGGGTCGACGAACAATCTGTATGGCAACATCGCGTCCAGTTCAAGGGGAAGGCATTCATTTGCAAATCCATTTGACCTTAATATGGAGATGCCATCGACGCAACCATCTGTGCAGTTTCCATTTGACACGATGGCTTCAAGCTCCAGGGGGAGGCATTCGACTGCGAGCTTTTTTGATCTGAATGTCGATATGCCTTCCAGTTCAAGGGGAAGGCGTGCAAGTAGTAAGTTCTTCGACCTAAATGTGGAGAGCATGGAGGAACTATCATCTCCACCAGAAGAACCGCTTCGTAAGCCTGGTGCGGATGGTACTGAGACTGGACTATTCATTCACCCAGAATCACCGTAATTCAACTTCAATGGTGATGATGAAGTAAATGAAGTTCCAGCAAATGTGGCACAAACTGACCCTCTAGCACACATGTATGAAGCTGATTATGATGCAATGTACGAGCCAGAATTTACGGATATGCCTCATCTCGGTGACTATGGATATTACTCATCAATAAATAATGGTGAGTTATCTTTAGGCATGGAGTTTTCAAGCAAGGAAGAAGCGATGATGGCTATCAAAAATTACAATATCCGTAATTCTGTTCAGTCCAGAGTCGACCGCTCCACGACCGAAAAATATGTATGCTACTATGCCCGACGCGAAAACAGATGCAATTGGATGGTTCGCGTATCGAAGAGGAAGGGGAAAAACAACATATGGGAACTAACAGTATACAACGGTCCTCACATAAGTTGTGCTGGAGGGATCAACCAAGATCATCCCAACTTGGACTCTGAAGTGATATGCCAAGCCATCATGCCCATGGTAAAAACAAGCTTTCATACAACTGTTGTTGTGTTGATTTCAGCTATACAAACGCAGTATGGGTACACTGTCTCCTATAAAAAAGCTTGGTTAGCAAAACAAAATGCCATTGTCAAACTTCATGGCGAATGGGATGCATCTTACAACGAACTTCCAGGCTGGTTTAGGCTGGTGCGGAGGTTGAATCCTGGGACAATTGTGGACTTTGAAACCTCCTATGCATACCATAATGATCGAGTTCTCCGCGATCGATGCCAATTCTACCGGGTTTTTTGGACTTACCCACAGTGCGTTAATGCTGTCAAATACTGCAAGCCTGTGGTCCAGATCGATGGGACTTTCTTGAATGGAATATACAAGCAAGTTTTATTATTGGCAGTTGTCCAAGATGGCAATCGCAACATTCTTCTAATTGCTTTTGCTCTTGTCAAAGGAGAAGATACAGATTCTTGGGCTTTTTTCCTCCGAAATTTATGTGCACGTGTTATCACAAGGAAAAATATATGTGTCATTTCAGATCGCGGAGCTAGGATCAAAGCAGCAATGGAGTCTTTGGGTCCAATGTGGCAACCACCCTTTGTCTAACATAGGTATTGTTTCTGACACATTGCTGCGAACTACCATGGAAGGTACAAGATGAATGATGAGCGTCAATTAATTGTGCGCATGGGTAAGTGAAACTGATGTAGTTTGTTTTCTTTCAATCATTTTAATTTTGCAAAGAAAACAAGTTAGTAAGTTATACATTTTTGATCAGGTTACGAACTACTTCCTCGAACGTTTGAATCAATGCTTCAAGATTTGCGGGTGAAGAACGAGGAAGGATACGATTACATCAGCCTCATCGATAAAGAAATGTGGACAAACGCATGTGATGGTAGATATCGATATGGACACATGACGACCAACTTAGCAGAGGCAATCAATTCAACTTTAAAGGGTGCACGTCACTTACCAGTAGCGGCTTTGGTTTGGTAAAGACTACATATTTTTGTTTTGGGGCGCTTTTTGCAAAGCTCAGGGGACAAGCTCAAACCTGGATGCAAGGCGATCATGTCTATCACCCTAGATTAGTTGCAGATCTACAGAAAAAAATTTCTGCATCAAATGGAATGTCTGTAACAAGTTTCTCTAGAAGGCATGAAATGTTTCATGTCACAGAGTTATCGCGACCTCTTCAAGGGATTAAAGTTGTGTCGTTAAGAGTAAATCTAAGGGACAGAACGTGCGACTGCGGGTTTTTTCAAGCTCTTAAGTATTCATGCTCTCATGTGATAGCAGCTTGCTCGCATACACGTCAAGACTATAACCATTTTATGGATCCCGCATACCTACTATATGAAGTTTTTAAGGTATACGAATTTGAATTTCCCCCCATAGGTAATGACAAAGGCCCTGATGAGGTTCAAGATTGACTTCCGATTTTACCAAATCCGAGTTTATTGAGGGAGCGTGGTCGTCCAAAATCCAATCGAATTCATTACGATATGAATATTCGAGAAAGATCTAGACAAGACAGAAGATGTGGGCATTGTAGAAACCCATGACACACTAGAAAAACATGTCAACTTTTGTTGCCATCAAGTAACAATTGATGAAGAAATGATGTATTTATTCATCAAATAATAATTCTTGTACTTTAATTTGCATTTACTTCAAGTTAATGTCATTCGATAATCACTGATGAAGATTAAAAAACGATACAATAATACGATATTAGACGTTTGCATTTTATTTGATTATAATAAAAGAGATAATAAATGACAAACTTAAGAAAGTTATCGAACAATTTGGTATTTCAAAATAATTTTAAATACAACAAACTTACAATAAGTATTAAATGGTAAATGATAACCAAATTACAATAACTGATATTAAATGGTAATAAACAAAATTAACTGAAATACATTAAAAAAAAGTCAAACAAATTTAACAAAATAAAGTAAGTATTAAATGAGAAATAATATAAAATTACAATTAAAAAGTCCAATAAACTAAATACAAATATAATAAAAAACAAAATCTATCGATGCCTGCGACGCGAATGTGTTCCGCAAGGCGGTGGCTGTCGGTCTCGAGGAAAATTTCTTCGTATCACTAGTTGTGACTCCTCGTTGTCATCATCATCACCATAATCGTCGTCGTCGTCGTCGTCGTCATCCTAAGTAGGTACATTAGGTTGATGAGGAGCTGATGACGATGAAGCACCTCCATATAATAAGGACCTTGGAGGTGTATGACTGACTATCCCACCGGCCTGTGAAAACTGGAAAAACTCATAAAACCCAAACATCACTGAGAGTGAAAACTGTACAGGAGGTGTTTGTGTTGCGGCCATGGGTGATGAGGTTGATCCTGCCAAATATCTATCATATGAACCCCAAGTTAGATCTACAAACATAGACCCATAATAGCCTCCAGGAGGGGTCATCTGTGACGGTGGTGGCGGCAGAGTCATAAAAGCAGGTGAAGGCGGCGGCGGCGGTAT